AGAGAAGAGAACATGGATTCTGCCCTTTAAAAAATTAGACTTAAAACGTACCTCAATAAAATCTCAAAAGATTCCTTGAAACTCAAATAAATAATTAAAATAATTCTGGTAAGAGCTGACTCTAAGGGAATCAGAAAATTATGGATTGGAGAAAAACTCCTTGAGGCCAATCTCATTAAAAGTTTTTCAAATGTAGAGCATTTGAGAAGTAGCAAATAAGCTAGTTGGATTTAAACTAACTTGATGCTTATGAAATTTAATTACTGAGCAGAATAAATCTACATCTGCTTCTTTATACGGCCACCTTCTCAAAAACCATATAAAATTCCTTGAATTTACTCCAGAAGCATTTATGGAATATATATTTTGTGCCACAATTATTCTAGACATTATATATACAATAAGTTCAACAAAATCCCTCCCTTACCAAACCTACATTTTAGAAAAAAAGGAACTATCACATCAACATAGTGTAATACAAAAGTTAATATTAGTGTGCTAATTGCTGTTTATATTGTCTAACAATAGATTCCTGTAGTCTTATATAGCACTTAAATCTCTAAAGGAAACAGAATCAGTAGTGAGAAGTATATCTAAGTGTGACTTATTAGTTTCCAATTGCATGATTTTTTGACATCTAGGTAACTGAATACATTTCACATTTATTTCTTTGTTAATATCTTGGACTTCTTGCCCTTCTTTTTATTCTTACCCATGAAAATGAAAGCCTTCCAAATGGTAAGTTTCATCAGCTTTTCTCAAGCCTGAGTGACACACTACTTGTATTTGCACTGGCTGAGCTAAATGTGGGTTGAGACAGAGTAAGGCAGAGAGTGGGAAAAAGGAGTGCGACGCTGTTGAAGCTCCTCTTAGCTGGTGGAGTTATCACATTGCTTGATTATAAGGCACACCGTTGCTTATGGATAAGCATGAAATTTCATTTCAAAGGTAAATCTAAGCACTGTTAGTGTTAAAATCCTTTGATTTCCCTGTTGAAATCATTTTAAAAGGTTAGAATTGCACTAACATCCTGATTATCATTTACAGAGTGATTTTATGGCTGATAATTAAAACAGGCTTCATTCAAAGTTCAATTTGACACGTCTTCATTGAGATCCTGTGTTGCTGTTCTATGCCAGATGCTAAGGAAAACAAAAGAAGCATGAATAGTTTATGTTTCTTTGCAGAAACTTAAAAGAGAAGAAGAAGCCAAAGTGCAGACATGCAGGCTCTGCTCTTTCTTGGTCTCATGCCAGGACACTTGATTATTTTATTTTTGGGCCAAATTGCCATCACTGAATTTCAGTGTTTAGAAGCCAGTAGGCATGAATAAATTGTTTTGCACACTAAATAGTCTATGCACATAAATTGCTGATCATAAATTTGGATTATCAGAGAATAGTATGTAAAGATAAAAAACAACCATGAGGATAGACGGGAGAGAGAGAGAGAGAGAGAGAGAGAGAGAGAGAGAGAGAGAGAGAGAGAGAGAGAGAGAGACAGAGAGAGACAGAGAGAGACAGAGAGATACTAATAGTAGAGCTAACTCAATAAAGCATGGAAGCTAAGTTGTACATGTCCATTCTTAGATGTCAGACTGTGTTTGCATGGCAACAAAGTGTTAGGAAATATTGGGGAGATGACTGGATACAGTGAGTGTCTTGTACATCATTCTTTTTCTTTCTTTTTTCTTTAAAAAAAAATAGTTGTGCAGGGTCTCAGTATTCAGTTTAGATTCATAGTGATCCTTCTGTTTTCATCCTCTCCAGCACTGGGATTACAGTCATGTGCCACCACACCTGGACTCAGTCACAGGCTCAGTATGCCAGGGGTGGGACCAGCACGGAATGTGGTGCCAAAGATCGAACCTTGGCCTCTGCACTTGCCTAAGTCAGGGCTTAGCCAGCTGAGCTATCTCGCAGGCCCTTTGTAAGTCATTGTTGAGATACCTGAAGTGTAGTGTGGTATCACTGAAGGTTGTGAATGAGGAGCACTAGAAGCACTTGTGTTCTGATACAGAAAACTACATTTAACAAAAGGAGGAGAGCAGTTAGAGATTGCATATTCATTGAAATATAATGATCTGATAAGATGATATGGCAGTAGAAATGAAAATGAAGGAGTGGATAGAAAAGAGAGTTCAAATCAAAGATTTTGCAGGAAAAAAAATTTAGATAACCCAATAGAAATTATTATTAATGTAGAAAATCATCAGATAGCACAGCTACATTATGAAATACTTAAAGAATGTAGTATTTACTACTTAACGTAAGAGATCAACCAAGTTCATGATACCTCATTGGCACTGCCTGATGCATAAATGAATACTCCTAGATTTAGGCTCAGAAACATAGCATCATATCTTGGCAGATAATCATATAAACTCTGGAGACTGCTTAGGACAAGTTGAGAAGGTCTTCACAACATCTGAATAAGAGAACATCAGGTATTTTGCAACGGCACAGTTTAGACTCAGGCAGGAGTCATCCTTGAGTTTCATTTATTAATTCTCTACCTATCCCTTACAAAGCTCATAATTGCCAGCCACTACCTTGGCATTAGACAGAATTGATAGAACATAATATTTCTAAATATTTTTTAGTATAGAGTCTTGCTACATAGCTCGGACTTGTAGTGATCTTCTTGTCTCAGCCTCCCCTGCACTGGGATTGCAGATGTGCACCACCACACCCAGTTTCAGTGACTGGCTCTGTGTGGAGCTGGCAGGGTATGTAGTATTGGGGATCAAACCCGGGTCCTTTAGCTTGCCAGGCAGGCACTTAGACAGTTGATCTATCTCCTCCTCAGTCCCTAAAACATAATCTTCACCCTTAAAATGCCTCATATTTTGGTCAAATGAGCACATGACAAGTACACCGGAGAATAGAAATAATGGAAGAAGATTTAAGGAAGTGGTAATTTCTTTTTCTGTCTGAGAGACAGTTGTCCACATTATAACTGGCTAGCATGTATCTTTGTGTTAGTGATAATGTAATTTAAAACTAAAACAACAGTATGCATTTATAGGCAAATGTTTTAATGGGAAAATGAGATAGAAATTAAAGAAAGGACTTTAGTTTAAGCAGCTGAAGTGGGCCACTCTCATGAACAGGACCAGACTGGCCTGCACACAAAGGATGACAGTAGTTTTATAGCACACTGTGGTGGGCTGAAGTCCATTCAGTCACTGGTTCAGAGCTGCCCTCAAAACCAGAGAGGAATCCTCCTGGCTAAAGGGGATGCTCCATTCCTCTGAAATGACTGAATATGGTGTCTAAGTCGTGAGAGGCTCTGCTTTTCCTGGTACTCAAGTGACCACAGATTCAGAACAATGATTAGAGATTCTTTGGACACCAAAGGGTAAGGATCTGGAGTTGGTAATTGGATCTCTCTCTCTCTCTCTCTCTCTCTCTCTCTCTCTCTCTCTCTCTCTCTCTCTCTGTCTTCTGTCTTGTACTTGTAGGCAGTTGAATTAGGGTAGGCTAATGGAAGCCTAATGAACATGGTTCTGCTAACGTCCTAAAAAATGAGAACCACAGACATACCCAAGCTTTGAAAGTCGTAAAGAACATAAACATAAAGGTCAAATTTTGCTTAACTCTTAGTTATGTACTGAGTATTTGTAGGTCTAAGCGAAGAGTCTTGGGTTTTAGAAAGATCTGCTTTTAGGTCACTGATTGTCTCAGAAGATAACTCAAATTAAGATTTTAATGAGTAGGATGTTACAGGCCCAAGAACTATTTTTTTCTTCTTCCTCTGGAGGTTCCTGACTATCTCAATATGACAGGCAAGAGCTACCTCATGAACTGAGAGACGGAGTCATGACCAAAATGTGAGGAAACATTCTTTACCATCAACAAGTTCCGGCAGTAGTCTGAATAGCTATTTTAGAATGCAGTCACATAATATATAATCCTTGTTTATCAACTGTAATTTTAAGTATCTCTAACACATTAAAAAAACAAAATATGCAACTTTTTTCCAATAGATAATATTAAGATACAAAGTAATTTCATTGAGCTTTTATCCAGCTGGCTCTGTGAATGAAATTAATAATTGCTCAATGAGTTAGTAATCTGACAGTGCAAAAAACTCTTTTCTTTTCAATAATTACTCTTTATATAGGGCTGATAAAGATATGTGTGTGTATGTTATATATTTTCCAAGTGTTCATATGCAAAAATGCCTGACTGTAGATATCCTGGCACTGCAGCTGCTGATTTTATTGTTGAGTTTCAACAGGTAGCAAACGTGTTTGAGATAGCCATCCCATACTAAGAGTACAGAACAGTGTCTGAAATGTCAAGTATAATATCAAAATTCATGCACAAAGGGGACCTGTTTTAATTTTGACTTACAACAAAAAATAACACTCTGCCATATATTGAAGGTCATATAAAGACATGGTTTTCAAGAAAAAAATTGCTGACCATTGGAAGAAAAATTCCTGTAAAGATCCACAACTACAGGCAAGCAAACACAGCACAGCAGGAAGCATTCATTAAGGCATTTATCAACTATTTGCTCAATGCTTGCTTCAAGCTATATTTGAAAATCAAAATTAGGAAATACCCTTGATGGTGAAATGTATAGCAAGAGAACCAGCCAGGCTAGCCAAATAGTTCAGTGGTTAAAGCACCTGCAAGCAGGAACAGGGGGTGAGGGTCCATCCCTGGGACTGCTGTGGGGGCCCCGCCCCCGGAGCTCACCGAAAGGGCAATTGAGACTAGGCATGGTGGCGTGTGCCTGTAATCCCAGCTCTTGGGAGGTTGTAAATAGGCAGATTACTATGAGTCCAATCTAGTAGTGAGACCCTGAACACCCTGTAGACCCTTCCCTAAAATTAAAAAAAAGAAAGAAAGAAAGAAGAGATAAACAGAATCCAAGTTTAGCAGTGGAAATTACCAAAACAACCCAGACACTGACATTTCTCATAGGAAGTTAACGGTGTGATGCAGGTCTACATCTTGGTCATCTTTACCTTTATTTATTTTATTTCTGTAAATACGGAATGCTTCATGAATTTGAATGTCATCCTTGTGCAGGGCCATGCTTGTCTTCTTTGTATGGTTCCAATATTAGTGTATGTGCTTGTAAAACAAGCACTAACTTTGTTTTTAAAATATAATTATTTTTCATTAATACATGTTTGGAGAACATAACATCTACATTCCTTTTCATGATGTTTGTGCAGGTATTCATCGACACAGGAAATAAAACAAGCTTTGTTCAAACTTTAACTCTGCTGTTTTCTCTGCCAATGATATGGGATTAAAATAGATTAAACTAAAGAGCCTTTTACATGTTGTAAACACAGAGATACCCATATTATGGATATCCACTTATTAGTGAGGAGGTTTAGCATTAATAAAAGTGAGTATACATTATCATAGAAATGTTTTGCCTAAAGGATTTCGTAGCTTCAAGGATCAATCCCAGCAGAAGGAGATTCCCTCCGATTGTGTGGAAGGATGTCAAGAGAGGTCTGATTAAATCAGTGCCTTTCTATGCACACACTCTGCATTGAAGGAGGAACCCAGTCTTCATATTATCAGATTACTGAAATATCTCCTCCTAGAAATGCTGCAGAATCTTCACAATAAACTTAATAGTGCTGGTGACTTATCGCCTGTCTTAAAAACACTCAGGAAATACTTTTCTCTAGTGAAAAGGAAATGAATGTTACTTCCCAGCTTGATTCAAACATATATTTTAAGGGCTTTAATTAGCCACATTTACTTACATCTGAGAAGCAATAATGAAAGTAGTATCAATAAACTGTTAAAATCTGTCTTTTAAATAGACACCATCACTAGTTTTCCAGAAAGGTGATGTACTCCTGTCCTATTATACTTACCTCCCCTAAACCCTCAATAGTAGAATTTCTTCAAAAGACAATTCCTAAATCACATGTTTGACTCGATTCATGATTTGTTTTCTAATTGAATAATTTTACCTCCCTAGAATAAGATTATAAATTTTTATCTATAACTTTATGGAGACACACGCACACACACGCACACATGCACACACACATGCACGCATGCATACACACGTCTAAAAGGTAGGCACTACAGTTATAAAGCAAGCCTTCTGGCTAGGTGAAAAACCAAGAGCAGAAATCAGATTTATTGAATTTCAATTTGTCTTTGGGAGTTATATTAACTGAGACAAATTATTCTTGACAAACACCGATACACTTACATCTTTCTCTGTTAACAATGAAAGGGAAAACTTCTACAGCTCTGTATGTCTCAAAAGCATAAAATAATTAGATGGTCTGATTCCAAAAACAAGTGCAAGTCTGCCTGATCCTCTGTCAAAGACTCTCAGAGATTGGAAAACAAAAAAGAGCTGCTGATACCATCCATTACTTCCAGGAAAGTGAAGCAGGGAGCATAACTTTTTGAGCACTAATGACTCACACTCTGGCCTATAATTTTACATTTTCTCCAATCTGGCATTATTTATTTATTAATAAATAATTAAGAATCCACATATGACAGGATAATTTAAATGCCATGTACTTTTATGCGACCACATTGAAAGGCTAACACATTAAAACCCAGCATTTATTTCAGAGTTGTTGAAAATAAACCTTAGCTTCTTAGTTGCTTGAATTCCTCTCATTGATCCATTTAGATCTACTGTGTTCATGGAGCTCTGGATATGATATGCCATAAACTTTCTAATTATTAATTGCCCCAGATTTAAAATCACAATTTAAGTTACATGATTCTTTAACATTAACTTTCCAGATATCTCCTTTCAGAATGTGTACTTCAAAAAATATTTAGATGCCATACGACCCATACAAGAGGGGCCAGGGAGATGGCTCAGTGGAATAAGAGCTTCTCTGACAAACACAAGGGCCTGAGTTCAAGTCCTGATCTCACCAAAAAAACAAGACCCTTACAAGAAGTGACTAGCACCAAGCTTTCTTTGTTCTTTTCCTAGCTTAGATTTTTCAGCCTTTTTAATTCCTGTTTTTATAAACTCTATGCCAAGTCAAAACAGAAAAGAGACAGCAAACTCAGAGGTCAAAAGTGAAGAGTTCAAAACTCAACATAGAATTTCCTTCCAAAATTGTTCCTTTCTAAATTTTTGCTACAAAATAAATGGCAGTAACTTTTCATATACTGAAGAAAAAGAGTAAACTGAACACATGTAAGTAAAAATTTCATGGGGTGGCCAGATAGCTCAGTGGACTAAATCACCTACTTAGGCAGGATCAGGGACTGAGGTTTGATCCATTGTGTGCTGTGCCAACCCTGCCCCTGGGGCATGCTGAGGTGGGGACTGAGACAGGATATGGCAGCACACCTGTAATCCCAGCCCTTGGGAGGCTGAAAACTGAAGAATCACTATGAGCACTATGTAGTGAGACCCTGTAGACACTGTATGAGAGAGAGAGAGAGAGAGAGAGAGAGAGAGAGAGAGAGAGAGAGATGATTTGAAGATTTCAATAAGACAGAGATCACATGAACATAATCATTCAAAGTATAATTTATTCAATAAAAAATGAATTCAAACTATTAAGAGCAGGTACTACAAAATTTCAAGTGGCTCTATGAGTGTGCAATTTGAGTTCCTAAAATTAAAAAAAAGTAGTGAAAGTGTAAAAGAAGAGAGAAGAAATGGAAAGATTGGTTTTAAAAATTAACTTCAATGAAAACAATACACATAAGTATCTAAGAGAATTCACTGCAAAGCAAGAAAAGAAAATTACACCCAGACTCATCAAAAGGCACTGAAAAATCACTCCATATATCTACAATATACAGTTATGCCAATTATACTTGAATGGGGCTGAACAAATGAAAAAACAATAATATTATACATTTTGGGTTTATTATAGATGTGGAAATTAAATGTACGTCAAAAATAACAGAACAACAAGAAGGGAAACTGTAAGCATATACTTCTGTAAAGTCCTTACACTGACATAGAGTCTTAGACAATTTGAAGGTGAACCAGGTGGCCATGCTGTGGGGCAGTTGGGCTTAGAGATTCATGGGCCAGCAGAATAGCCTTCAGACGTGTGGGCCGTGAAGGAGCTTTGCAAGTCAGACTAATAGAATTCATTGTGTTAAATGACCTCTTTCCAGGAAAGGCTGGGGCTAGGTAGAGAAGAAATCAGGAGGTTCCCGGGTCTCAGCTGATAGCCCCAGTTATGGCCTCCTCTGCCACCTTCTTGTGAGAGTGAAGCCTTGGTGGATCTTCCCCCAAACAGGGTGGCTGGTGCCCAGAGCCTATCGACTTTGGTATGTGGTCTCACTGTTCCAGTTCTTGGTGCTCAGGAACTCATAGAAATTCAATTTGAGTTACTGGTGACTTCCCACAGTTTCTAGAAATGACTTTTATGCCTTTAAGGAAGGCGAAATAGTATGAGTATCTGGTTTGTGGCAAATTTGCTGCAGGGATGATGGCTTTGCTTGCTTGGCTTGGGGTCCACAATTTGAATTTGTCAGTGCTGTCATGGGAAAGCTTCACCTGCCCAGAGATTCAGAGCAGTAAACCAGTCTCTTGTTCTAGCAATGAAAGAATTGTCTCACTAGAAGAAAGCTGAGTTGTTAATATTATATGTAGCTAAGTATTTAGATATATTGTAGGCAGTCAGACATGGCTAGGACCACAGGAAGTCCATGCAGAAGACAACTGTGGCTGGAGGTACATTCAGTGAAGGCCAGACTTGAAGAGAAAGAGCTACTCATCGTGTACTTCTTCTAGAGATGAACAGCAACAGTAGGTATCCAGGAAAGTTCCTTTCCATCCTATGTGACTTTCTTCCTAATATTATCCATATTTAATCAATATTAATCAATATTTTATCCCATAATGAATCAACAGTACCTAAGTGACTATACTTGCAATTCTGTTGGTTAATTGTACTTTTATTTAACTTGACACATGATTTTTTCATTTGATAAACATTTCCTAACAGACTATACTTGTACTCTTATTGATTATAGCTTTGTCCCCTCTAGAACACATTTCACTTTATGGTTTTCTTCAATAAGTACCTTAAGAAGTGGTATGGGCAGGCAATCAGGTTCTGTCCCTCTTAGAAGCTTTCTTTCTCTCAATGAACTCTTTCTACTCTTAACCTCCATTGTTCCTAGAATTCATTCCTCAATTTTAGATAACATAAACATGGCATTTTAGACATTTAGTAGGTTGGGAATTTCCTTCCCTTATATATCATTAATAGGACTGGGAAAAATAGGAGGGAGTATTTTCTGTCTTTATGACTTTGCCATATCAAGCGTAGTTAAATGACTTGTTCTTCCTGGAAGATTAATAGCCATCTAATAGGTAATCATGGACGACCCAGGACAAACATATAGTGTTTACACCCAAATTTTCTATGGTTCTTTGATGTGACAGTAATGGTGACTAGTAATGGGCAGAACATTTTTGCTGAACTTCCTTTGGATAACACCTTTAGTCAACATGTAGAAGAGGCATCAGACCTAGATGAGGCATCGTAACCAGTACCTCATATCAGAGAACATTCCAGGAGAGGAGGACGCCATCTTTATTTCTGACTAAGAGGACCGTGTGAGGGGCTGTTTCTACAAGCGGTTCAGCTTGCTGTAAGTTGTTCTGATAGCCATCTATTACTGTTGACTACATAAGACATGAATAGAATATTACACACAATTGGAAGGTGAAAGAGTCCTTGTGTATGCTCTCTCTTTTCAAGAAAATGAGAATGATCCTTGCCATTGCTGTTACTAGTGGGATGTTCATTCTACACAAGATAATTGAAAGTACAAATTGAGCTTTTATCTCCTTCAGTTGCTATATGGTGATAGAAAATATTTGGTACCAGAGCCAACCTTACATGAGGGCTTAGAGTACTATGAAGAAAGATCCATTCTGGAACTGGCTGGTGGCATATTTAATTTGAGGAAATCTAAGGTCAAATTGAAAAATAAATAAAGTCAAATTGTTGGGATATTGGAGTATAGAGTATAGGGAGATTTTCAGTTCATGGTAACAAGGAAGAAGGCATGAATGATACTTTATTTCCTAGGGTTCTGACCTTCACCTGGCAAATGAATATGTATGGAGGGGGACATCCTTTTATGTATTTTGCATTC